TGTGGCCACAATGATGCTAGTGGCCACGGTGACGCTGGTGGCTACAATGATGTTAGTGGCCACGGTAACGCTGGTGGCCATAATGATTCTAATGACCACGGTGACGCTGGTGGCCATAATGATTCTAATGGCCACGGCGACGCTGGTGGCCACAGTTTCCCAACCTTGATCCCTTTGCTGGACAACAATCTGTAGGAAATCAGTAGTGGTAATACCGCTACTGCATACACCAAGGCTCTAAACTTTTCCACATCTTGTTCTGCCCAGAGCGTCTCCAGTCGTGTCTCTTGGTTGTCCTCTGCCTGATGACGGTGACCAATGATAAGGATGTTTGAGAATGATGTTGATAATACTGACGAACGAAACAAAAATTCTTAAGTGTGAAGGTATAAAAATAAGGATGTTTGGCTCAACATTATTGTGTACATTATTCATATCAAACCAGTGTCCTCTTCCCTCCTATAAGAATTTATTGTTTCCCGAATGTCTTTTCTCGCTATGCTACAAGTGGCTGGAAAAGAGAGCCAGCACAGTGACTCCTTTCACTCGCCAATCTCTATGTATTAAACCACAAAACCTGGTAGGAATTCATGTATTACCGAGTTATACAATTGATCATATTTTTAGTTTAACATTGAAGGTGGTGTTGGTGGGTGGTACACACACTGCATTGTGAAATTCTTTGAAAGATCAATTTTGGTCAGTAATGATAAACGTGTGATATTACACAAACTATTATCACATTAAGTCGCTCGTAAAACAATTAATTGTTTACTATACGACGATTATGAAGCTGAATAGATACTAAATTTTCCATGAAACGCTTTAAATCGTAGTCCACATCAACTCATTAAATATTGTTAAACTGTTTCAACAATGGGGACATAATTATTGGTTCTATCAGACTGAAGCCGCTGAAGATATTGGCCATCATAAATAACCGTTTGACACTTCAGTTTTCCACACGTCGTTATTCGTTTGAGGATAACACAATATTACTGGTGACTACTTAAATTCTAACTGTTTCAGCGAGAGTTCCCACGTGTAGTTTCTCTTCCTCGGGTACAACTTAAGAGAGATGTCAGGTGAGGTGGGTAGTGCCTGAAGAAGGGGGGGGGGGAGGTCTAGGAGAAGATGGAAGATCAAATGGTATAAAGAAACACGAGATGGGTAAAGAAACCAACTACCATAAGCATACAAAGACCAATAGACCAGAAGAACAAAGACCAACAGACCAGAAGAACAAAGACCAATAGACCAGAATCAAACAAAAGACCAACAGACCGGAATCAAATAAAAGACCCAACAGACCAGAAAGACAAAGAAAATACTACGCAAGTGACCAACAGACTTAAGACGACCTCAACACCGTGAAAACATAAACTCACACCAGTGGTTATGTTTTAATTCCTGTAGAGTTTTATCCTCGGCACTAGCCAACCACTATACTTGAGCCCCTCTTGGGTGTACTAATTTATACCAACGATGCACTTTTAGAGAAACAGAGTAAGGATTGTAATATTAAATGCTGCGATAGAGAATGCTAGACGCTTCGCTGGTCACAGAGACAGAGAGAGAGAGAGAGAGAGAGAGAGAGAGAGAGAGAGAGAGAGAGAGAGAGAGATAAATAAGTGCTTCCCTGTTCATTATCAGTTGGCTGGGAATAATTCATTCATTTTCCATCATTTAATAATTCACAATTATATTACGAATCCCGCCATAAACTTAAATGCTCTTTAGGTCTCGTTAGATTTTCATTAGTTAGCAAATAAGTGAATTCGGTCGTGTGGTTGAAAATTAACACGCCATGGATTGTGGGTATATTAAAGTGGCCAGAGGTACTGTAGCGAGGCAGGATATGACCATACACGCACGCACGAACTCTCTCTCTCTCTCTCTCTCTCTCTCTCTCTCTCTCTCTGTTTAATGTGTGTTTGTTTCGTAAATTGGTAAGTTGTCTTGTATTCTCGTATGTTTGTTTATTATTATTTTGTGTGCTTTTTTTCTCTGTCTGTCTTTGTCTCTCTCTGTTTTTGTTTCTGTCTGTATGTCTGTCTGTCTGTCTGTCTTTGTCTCTTTGTTTTTGCGCCTGTCTGTCTTTGCCTCTCTCTGTTTTTGTGTCTCTCTGTCTCCGTCTTTGTCTTTCTGTCTGTTCCTGTCTGTTCTTCTGTCTCGCTCTGTTTTTCTGTCTATCTTTGTCTCTGTTTTTTGTGTCTGTCTGTCTCTTTTACTCTGTCTGTCTGTCTCGTGTAATTCATCAGTTCTACTTCAAAGAAAAGAAAGATCCCCCCCACGAGTCACAAGCTCAGCCAGCATTGCATTAAGCATGCTAACATTTTAAGAACAAATCACAAAGTACTCTTCTCATTTGCTTACATATCTATCAGTGTTATACGGACGGCCATCAACGTTATACGGACGGCTATCAACGTATACGGATGGCCATCAGAGTTATACGGATGGCCATCAGAGTTATACGGACGGCCAACAGAGTTAGACGGCCATCAACGTATACGGACGGCCAACAGAGTTTTACGGACGGCCAACAGAGTTATACGGACGGCCATTAACGTATACGGACGGCCAACAGAGCTAGGCGGCCATCAACGTATACGGGCGGCCATCAGAGTTTTACGTACGGCCAACAGAGTTATACGGACGGCCAACAGAGTTATACGGACGGCCATCAACGTGTACGGACGACTAACACAGGTTACGGGAGCTAACTGCCATAATAAGAACAGTGTAGTTTGATGGAGGCTGATAAAGAGGCCTTGCTGTTAACGACCATGTATAGTGTAGTGTCCTGCTGCGGTTAAGAGCTTCTTTTGCTCCCTGGTAACCTAGACTCTTGAGAGGTTGTTTGAAGTAATCTTTTGAGTGTTCGTTCGTTCGTTCGTCCGTTCGTTTGTCTCCGTTCGTCCGTTCGTCAGTGTCCGTCCATCCATTCGTGATAGATTGACCTCCATGTGATTTGTAGTTTTTTTCTCCGTAAACGCAGTGGACAGAATTCAGTTTTAAATAGAAAGATTATTATCATATCTCTTTGATTAGGATTTTAATATTCGTGTTGCCAGCCAAGTGATTTTATAGGGTTGGGTTGGGTTGGGGTGGGGTGGGGTAGTATGGGGTGGGGTGGTGGTGGTGGTGTGGGGTTGGGGTTGGGGTGGGGTTGGTTGTGGGGTGGTGTGGGGTGGGTGGTGTGGGGTGGGATTGGGTTGGGTGGGGTGTGGTGAGATTCGCTGTTTTCAGGTGTTCTCGTCAAGGTGGTCAAATAAGGTGTTCGAAGTTATCATGATTTGTCTTTATATTACGTGTGTGTGTGTGTGTGTGTGTATGTGTGTGTGTGTGTGTGTTTATTATTTATTTATTATTATTATTATTATTATTATTATTATTATTATTATTATTATTTTTATTATTATTACTCCCACCGGTATTACGAGGTGCAAAAGAGACCCCCATAGCCCATCAGTATATTCCACACATTCTCAGTAAAACTCAATATTATCCCAATACATATAAAATTAGTTTGCTGTAGCTGTGAACGGCCGCTGGAAAAAAATAAAGGGATAAAAAAAATTCGTAGTTCACTGTAGTCACACACACACACACACACACACACACACACACACACAGTCACACACACACACACTCTCTCACACAGAGGCTAGGCCCCCAGGGTAAGTCCTCCAGCACACCTCCTGCGGCCTCACCCCATCACGTAACAATTTACTGCAGGCAGCTGGGATAAACTCCGCCATCTAGTGTATTGTATTGAACTACATTTATATATGTTAGGGTCTGTTAATGTGTTATTTTTATCGGTCTTGTGTGTGTGTGTGTGCGTGAGTGTGTGTTTGTTTGCGTGTGTCTGCGTCTGTCTGTCTTTATATCTAATTGCTTGCGTTATTTATTTATCTGTTTACCTGCTTCTGTTGTATCTTTGTATTTTTTCTGTCCCTGTTATAATTTAGTCTATTATTCCATACATATTTTTGTTTTCTGTGTATTAATCAATTTGTGTGTGTATGTCTGTTAATCTGTATGTTATTACGTCTATCCTAATCTTTCAACAACTTTTAATATATGTTTAATTTTGTGTTTATCTATATTAGTTATTAGTTTTATTTATTATTTATATTTCATTATTTATTTTTCTTGGTATTCTAATTATTTATCTATATTTTATGTATCACTAAATTTTTCATTGATTTGTTAATGATTGTTTTATCATTTTATCTCTAAAGGCAGGTGACTTTATCTAATGATTATAATTATAAGTTTGCATTGCGTTATTTTACTAATTTGTGTTTTTTTTCATATTTACTTATGTTTTATATTATGTATTTGTTTTTGTAATCCTATTTACTTTTTCATATTTTTATTTTTTTATTCTTATTTATATATTTATTGTTATATTTATTCTTTTTGTTTAGCTTTTATTTATTCTCGTAGTTTTTAATGTAGGAACTTCTAAACGTTTAGTCAACCATTCTGACCTTTCACTAACTTTTAACCTCTAGTAGGGGAGGAAGAGAAGGGGAGTGAAGATAGGGGGAGGGGAGGAGACAGGGGAGGAGAGGGGAAAAGTGGAGGAAAATAGACGGTAGGAGAAAGTATGGAATGGGAGGGTAAGAGATGGAAGGGTGAGGAAGGGTTGGGCAGGGGTGGGAAGGGCAGGAGAGGGAAGGGAAGGGTAGGAGAGGGAAGGGCAAGGTAGTAGAAGGAAGGGCAGGACAGGAGAGGGGTGGAGAGAGTGAGAGAAGGCAGTGGAGGGGCGGGAGAAGGAAAGGGAGGGCAGGAAAGGAATTGGGAAGACAGGAGCCGAAGGGGTACGGCAGGAGAGGGAAGGGAAGGGTACGGCAGGAGAGTAGGAGAGGGTAATAGAGAGGCAGCAAAAGGTAATAGAGGAGTGGAAAAGAGAGAGAGAGAGAGAGAGAGGGTAGGAGAGGGAGAGCAGGAGAGGGAAGGGGAAGCAGAACTTTGGACCATACATGATGCAGTTGGGAGTCAGTGCAGCAGCGGCGACACCAAGTAAAGCTGCACTCAACACCTGTACACTCACCTGCTGGGGGGGAGGAGGGGGGGGCTCACTACCTGCCCTGGAGATACTGGTTCTCTCTGTGACCTTGTATTAGACATAAGACACTGAGACACAAAACAACGTGAATAACATAAACAAAATCTTCTTGTAAAAACTTGAAGTTAAGAAAATAATAACGAAGACATTAAGCTAACCTGTTGAGAAAATTAATTAAGGATGAATGTATAAGTTTTAAACAACCCGGAAAAAAAACTAATTTGGAGCGTTAATATGTAGAGTAGCATCTTATGTGTAGGGAAGCATATTATGTGTAGGGTAGCATCTTATGTGTAGGGTAGCATCTTATGTGTAGGGTAGCATCTTATGTGTAGGGAAGCATCTTATGTGTAGGGAAGCATCGTATGTGTAGTAGGTATGTCTATGTGTAGGGAAGCATCTTGTGTGCGTGTAGGGGCATCTTATGTAGGGTAGCATCTATGTGTAGGGTATGCATGTGTAGGGAAGCATATTATGTGTAGGGTAGCATCTTATGTGTAGGGTAGCATCTTATGTGTAGGGTAGCATCTTATGTGTAGGGAAGCATCTTATGTGTAGGGAAGCATCGTATGTGTAGGGTAACAATCTAAAATCATTCTCTTCATCAACAATAAATCACTCAGTATTACCGTACTTAAACGAATCAGACGATCCATCTCTTAACTTTCTAATTTCTACTTCCGTTATTATCAATGAAACCCACTCCAACACCTATCACTCCTAGACCCAACACACCTCATTCTCTATTGTACCGTCCTTATTTTACGCCAGTTTCATTATAATTAGCCATCATTATCATTATTCACTTCCTGTGTTGCTCTCACTTCACAATCTACTGTATAAAACTCTCTTTCCTCTCATAGCTTTTCCATCAATCTACTTTACGTCTCTTTAAACGCAAGCTTCTACTCGCCTCTTATGGCACAGCTCAACAGGTATTCACGTCTCTCTTCTCCTCTGTGTGCTGAGAGAGAGAGAGAGAGAGAGAGAGAGAGAGAGGCCCTTGGGTGGGTGGGTGGGTGTGTTTGTTTGTGTGTCAATAGAATACCCTCACCAGGCCATGCTTTATGGAGGGGAGTTGGAACAGTTTTGTCAGTGCGGTGTAGGTAGGGCCATGTGCTTGTGTGTGTATATATGTAAACTGTAAACCCACGCCTGGAGATTGGTTTATGGACATGAGTTGGAGCAAGTTTACCAGTTTATAGTGTGCGTTTTGGACCATCAGTTTGTTATGTGTCAGCGAATAGTTTTAAGCTCTGGTCTACGAAAACATAACTGCATGAGTGTGTATACGGTGTTGGTGTCGAATCTTGGGGAAATAATCGAGAGAGGATGAATCTGTAGAGTGTATTATTTTATATGTATTCTCCCTTTTGAGTTAGTGTGTTATATTCTTCCTGGTGTCTTACTGACTTTGAGAACGATAAGAACCCCTAGAGGATGAGGGTCTTAGCCTCTTGATAAAGGTACAGGGTATTTTAGTTAATCCCTTGAGAACCGTGATTTAAATACCTTGAAAACGATGATTTAACCCACTTGAAGACGATGATTTAACCCTCTTGAAAACGATGGCTTAATCCCCTTGAAGACGATGATTTAACCCACTTGAAAACGATGACTTTATCCCCTTGAAGACGATGATTTAACCCACTTGAAAACGATGGCTTAATCCCCTTGAAGACGATGATTTAACCCACTTGAAAATGATGGCTTAATCCCCTTAAAGACGATGATTTAACCCACTTGAAAACGATGACTTTATCCTCTTGAAGACGATGATTTAACCCACTTGAAAACGATGACTTTATCCTCTTGAAGACGGTAATTTAAAACCCTTGAAAATAACGACTAATCCCCTGGAAGACGATGGTTTAATTTGTCATCTTCAAAGGGTTAATAACCTTAAGACTGCTCTGTCAGTGAGTCAGTCAGTCAGGATTTGTATTCATAGAGCTGCCGACACAAATTAAAAAAAATTATGAATAAACACAGTGTGTCAAGTTACATTGTTTTTGTATCAATTATGTATAATTCCCTCTGTAGTTGTTTTCTTAAATATTTTATCGGCGTATAATAGCCTTGCCAATATCTCCCTAGTTTATTGTTGACCTATAAATTGGTCCAATTATCGAGTTCCAATATAATTTCTTGTGGAGGTTTTGTCTTACATCAATCACCGCTGAATTATCGATGTATTGCATTACCCAGCAGTTTATATTGGCATGGAGAGACTCGATGAAAAAAATATCAATCATATGAGTAAAGTGGCACTCAGATCTGGAACACACCCAATACACGCGACTGACCCATGACCCCTGCCTTCCGTGCCCTCAGGAGCCGCCTGCCATACCATACAACCTAACACCTACCACAGAACCTTACACCTACCATACAACCTTATACCTACCACACAACCTTATACCTACCACACAACCTTACACCTACCACACAACCTTATACCTACCACACAACCTTACACCTACCACACAACCTTACACCTACCACACAACCTTACACCTACCACACAACCTTACACCTACCACACAACCTTACACCTACCACACAACCTTACACCTACCACACAACCTTACACCTACCACACAACCTTACACCATTCACTTTTACCTCGGTCAGGGTCATTAAGGACAAGTTCCTATTTTACTATTCATTGGATGTTGTTCTTGTTCCTCCACATTCATGTATACTGTATGTGTATCTAGTGGTTGTGAGTAACATTATCCTTTACTTTACAGGTATACAGTATGTTAGTAGGTGAATTGTGGTGGTGAGTCATGTACTATGCCTGTTAGATTTAGTTAGATATGTTAGTATGTCATATAGTGGTGATAAGAGACTCGTTATGACTCACAATTTTCCTAAGTCATCATGTTGTGTTGTACTGTGGTGATGTTGATCAGTTCACCACGAGGAAGGCTTGAGGTCATCTGTCTGTTAATGGCTGGTGCTGGTCAATAGATATTTCGGATCACATGAAGATTAGGCGTTCCAGCTTATTTCACATTTTAACCTAACCTAACCTAACCTAACCTTATCTAACCGATAGTAAACCTAAGCTTACTTAACCGCATTTAATCATCAGGTGAAATAAGCTGGTGTGAGGGGATAATCTTCAGGTGTTCCAATATTAGCTTTTGTCCGACAAAGTCTTGATTACTCTTGAACCTCAACTCATCCAAAAGGAAAAACTCGAGATTTTGAAATTCTTAAATCAAACATTTTTTTTTACTTTATTCGAAAATTGTTGTTAATTCCGCTGTCGGTGGCAGGAAGAAATTGTAATTAGTGTTAGATGAAGGGAAAGCCTTTAGAGTATGGAGACGACAGAACTAATATGGTCACTTGTGTAAGATGATCCTTTTCACTTCTGAAACATTTTATAATAATTTGTGGAAGTTCACTAAAGTAAGAGGACCGTTTTGATCTTTGACCTTCGGCCGATTTATGCCAAAATTCATTCGGTGCAGAAAGGATCAATGTGTAAGTATGGAGGGTAATGTGGGGACAAACACTGACCAGCCAAATGAGCCTCTCTGTTTAATCTGGAAATCTTGGAGTTGGCCAAGGAAGAAGAGGAACCAACCAGGCGTGATGGAAGTTTTCTTAAGTCATGGAATGAGACTTGTCGACGCTGGTGTGTGAAGCGCCAAACGGAGACAGACAGACAGACAGACACAGACAGACAGACAGACAGAGTTGACGCGGACAAACGGACGCAGAGACAGATAGAATTCACTAACATATGTGGCAAATTTCTTATCTCTTAAAGAAAACCACATTGCACACAAATGCAAAGTGAACTATGTGTGTGAGAGAGAGAGAGAGAGGGAGAGAGTAAGGTCAACGATGCTAACAAGTGGGCGGGGAATTAGTTTGGTGAATGTGGCTATGTTCCCTCATTGACTTAACACACTGGCTTATTATTATTAAGGACGGACATGCGGGAACAAGATATTCCTCACCATGGGATGTTTATCAAGTCAAAGTGCTTTTCTCCTCAGGCATGTTATACTGGTACACTCGTATTGTTTTCTTTACCGGGATAATAAAAACCTCAGTTGTTTCGATTGTTCTTTCTCGCAGGATATACAAATGAGGGACCCAGAACCTCCTCCAGGGCACGCCGCATCGTGTTATACAGAAGTGGTAAATTGCACATAAGTGGCACTTTACACAATGTTTGTAGATTGTTCTTGAGTGGTGAATTATCTCTGTCTCTGTCTCTCGCTAACACTTCACACACTTCTCATAACTGTGGAAGCTGGAGGGCTTTTATTGTCGTTGACCTTTGACCTGACAATTGGAAGTTAGTGAAGTAAGTTGTTCGTTGGAGTAAGGTGGTCACTGGAGTAAGGTGGTCACTGGGATCGGTAAATCATCTTGGGTGCATAAGTGGGTTGACCTCCATTATCAGCAATCTCCATCAGTGACCCCCGGGGTCGTCGTTAGAAAGCGCAGTGGTTGACCTCGCGTGACCTTTTAGTAAATATTGGGTGAAAATTGTTGACGTCGCCCCAGGCTGGTCGACACACGGGGTGGCGTAGAAAGTTATTTAGTCAGTCAGTATCGGTATTCATAAAGCCTGCTGGATCAGCTTTAATAAATAGGGCAGCTGGATTTAAGATTTGAGTGTGTGCGTGTGTTTTGTCAGTCCACTACCTACAGCGTAATAAAAGTTTAACGCGTTGCCCTATTTTAAACTGCATAAAAATTTTTAACTTGGATTAACCAAATGGTGACAGCGGCTCAAATAGTGCAAAAAGTTCCACTCGCTTCTTTTTATTTTTTCTAAATATTTTTTGGTACAAGTTTGTGTTTCATTGTGGATATGTATGACAGCCAGAACATGAGGCGCCACTCACCCACTACTACCGGTCATGTGGAGGTGGTAAAAGAACTTTATATGTCAAAAGTGAGTTCTATGAAATTTTAAATCACGATGTGGATCGGGAGAGATTCAAACAAATATTATATTCATTGTAACATTAATGATATAAATAAAAATTTCACTAAAACTCAACCTTAACTGAATAATTTCTCTTAAAACCAGGAAGGGAATAAATTTAAGGAAAAGAATTTGAGAAAGATTTACCTGAAACTTAAGCCGTAAATATATCCCAAGATATATTATTTCACACGAGTTAGTAAATATGCATTTTTCCTCCTTATTTCGGAAGCTACGGTCATATGTAGGGGAACGATAAGGTTGATAATCTGTGTTTTTTCTCCTTATTTCCTGGAGATTGTCATATTTACTGTGTGTTGGGGTGCGTGGCTGGCCTCGGGTGTTATAACAGTGTGTTGGGGTGCGTAGCTGGCCTCGGGTGCAATATCCAGTGTGTTGGAGTGCGTGGCTAGCTTTGTGTGTGTGTGTGTGTGTGTGTGTGTGTGTGTGTGTGCGTGCGTGCGAGCGCGCTTGGAACAGTCTTTCTCCTGTGTAGGACCAGGAACCACTGGATCTTGGTGAGTTAAGTCTTACAATAAATAAGAGAGGAAGATTGCGGATGATCATTACTCACAGCAAGGGCTCACATTCTCAAAATGATCGTACGTTAATTCTCTTTCCCCACATCTTAACTAGAGATACGAGAACTCAGCCAGCTAGCTCTCTAAATCTACCACACGAATATGGCAGCAGACTAAATGACGTCATCGGAATTGCACCGAGACTTTACCGTCAACAGATACGCGAAGGAGAAAAGAAAACGCATGGGAATCTCTCTCTCTCTCTCTCTCTCTCTCTCTCTCTCTCTCTCTCTCCAGATCTCGGACTCTCAGCGCCACGCCTCTACAACACAAAATACGAGGCCGCAGCTTACCCAATATTTATGTTCTTCTAACCAATTTCATTAACCCATTTTATTTTATTTTTTTTACGTATTGTATTATTTTCTTTACTCCAGAAAACACTACCAAAGTGGAGCCACACGCAGGATTTTCACCTCTGAGTTCTGACGGTCGTAAATTACCTGGGCATAACCTCGTCCACCTTCCTGGCATTAAAAAAACACGGAATTACTCTACCCTAAGTTTATTATTCTAGACAATTCCGCCTCAATGTTTTTCCTCCAGGATTAATGTTTGTTCCTGGTCCCTATCTTACTCTACTGTACAGTATATGTGAAGTAGGGCGGCCATTTTGCTGACCTAATTCGTTAGATCACTTGAAGATTATTAACCCTCTCTATCTCGCTACACCCGAACGATAATTGACCTAATATATCTTAACCTTACTTAACCTAAGAACAACCTATCCTAACCTAACCCAATCCAACCATCCAACATAACTTAACCTAATCTAGTAACCTAATCCAACCTAACTTAACCTAATCTAGTAACCTAATCCAACCTAACTAATTTAAATCATCTTAGCAATAACCTAACCTAACACTAACCAAACACTAACTTTACCTTACACTAATCTCACCTAACCTAACCTAACGCCACCTAATCCTTATTTTATAACTAGTTCATTTTAATTCATTCACAGCACTTTACATACACCCACAAACTTCACAAACACCCACTCGTACTGTATACCCGCAGCGTTCATCACCTCACTAACTCATTAAAAACTTGCCGGTATATACAGTATTTAATAAACAATCCATTCCTTCAGTGTGTCTCTCTCTCTAAAGATGCTTCTATGCTATGTTTACATAGTTAAAAAAATAAGAATGAGAGAATAAAGAGGGATGAACACACACACACAACACACACCACACCACACCACACCACACAACACACACCACACACCACACAACACACACCACACACCGCAACGCAACACACACCACACACCGCAACGCAACACACAAGGTAATTTCTCATATTTTTCCCTCATCTTTTACTAATTTTTATCGTTAAGTTACAACCTTCCTATAATATTATCTTGGGTTGTATATTTTGCCTCGAGAAAATTTGCCAGTTATATAATCATAGGTCGTTTTATTGCCATTTAGATTAACTTGTTATTTGATGTTAGTCCAGTGATGCATTGAATTGTCTGTCTGTCTGTCTGTCTGTCTGATTGAATGTAATACCTATCTGTCTGTCTGTCTGTTTATTGACACTTAAGATTATTCAGGCCTTTTATTATATTTTATTTTATACTTCTGTCAGTCATTTCTAAAAAGTATTAGTCTATCTGTCTGTTGAAGGGCACTTAAAGTTTTCAGTGTTTGTAAAGGTCTGTCTGTGTATTCTTTATAACAGTTCACCCCTTGGTTAAGGTCCACACACACACCTCACCTGTCATCCTATTAATAACCTTATCTCAGGTAAACGTCGGAGAAGTTAAGTAGTTGTGCCAAAATTATCCACCAGTAATTATCCCACTAGAGAGGTTAATTATAATGAATAGTTTCTTCAGTTTGGTCAAGGTTAATGTTTTAATCACGGAGGTTAAAATATTCAGAAATATCAGAAAGTTGAAGATCAATTTTGAGGATTTATAATGCAGCGTTCAACCTTTGGTGTCCCGTGTTGGTGAGAATTTTATAAACATTGATTATGGGAGCACAGGTAGTAGTGATTCTCGGAACACAGGTAGTAGTGATTCTCGGAGCACAGGTAGTAGTGATTCTCGGAACACAGGTAGTAGTGATTGTTGGAGCACAGGTAGTAGTGATTCTCGGAACACAGGTAGTAGTGATTCTCGGAACACAGGTAGTAGTGATTCTCGGAGCACAAATAGTAGTGATTCTCGGAGCACAGGTAGTAGTGATTCTCGGAACACAGGTAGTAGTGATTCTCGGAACACAGGTAGTAGTGATTCTCGGAGCACAGGTAGTAGTGATTCTCGGAACACAGGTAGTAGTGATTCTCGAAGCACAGGTATTAGTGATTCTCGGAACACAGGTAGTAGTGATTCTCGGAGCGCAGGTAGTAGTGATTCTCGGAACACAGGTAGTAGTGATTCTCGGAACACAGGTAGTGGTGATTCTCGGAACACAGGTAGTGGTGATTCTCGGAGCACAGGTAGTAGTGATTCTCGGAGCACAGGTAGTAGTGATTCTCGGAGCACAGGTAGTAGTGATTCTCGGAGCACAGGTAGTAGTGATTCTCGGAGCACAGGTAGTAGTGATTCTCGGAGCACAGGTAGTAGTGATTCTCGAGCACAGGTAGTAGTGATTCTCGGAACACAGGTAGTAGTGATTCTCGGAGCACAGGTAGTAGTGATTCTCGGGCAGGTAGTAGTGATTCTCGGAGCACAGGTAGTAGTGATTCTCGAAGCACAGGTAGTAGTGATTCTCGGAACACAGGTAGTAGTGATTCTCGGAACACAGGTAGTAGTGATTCTCGGAGCACAGGTAGTAGTGATTCTCGGAGCACAGGTAGTAGTGATTCTCGGAACACAGGTAGTAGTGATTCTCGGAGCACAGGTAGTAGTGATTCTCGGAACACAGGTAGTAGTGATTCTCGGAGCACAGGTAGTAGTGATTCTCGGAACACAGGTAGTAGTGATTCTCGGAGCACAGGTAGTAGTGATTCTCGGAGCACAGGTAGTGGTTGTAGTAACACGTATTACTCTGTAGGTCTTTACTTATTCCACTTGTATCGTCAACTTAATTACTTTCCAACTGACTCACTTCAAATCCATAAATACAAACGCAACTATTAGTAGACTTTCTAATGATCTTAAGTACTGCAGAGCGCCATACCTCTCTCCCTCCTCCTTCCCTTCCCCTTCCTCCTCCTCCTCTTCCTCCTCCTTCTCTCCTCCCTCCTCCTCCTTCTCTCCCTCCTCCTCCCCCTCCCTCCTCCCCCCCTATTATAAATTATTAAATGCCATCTCTCTCTGAACCAACCGGGCCTACATTAACCCATCCTCTCCCCTCTACTGCTTCCACCACCTGAGAATCTACTAGAATAGGATGAGCAGCTACGGCTATATGTCCTACTGAATATTGTATGTGTAGGATCCCAGGGACAGAGATTTGTGTCAGGTAAGGAAGGCGAGACTCGTAAGTCCTGTAGGATCTTGAACACTGGGGAGAGGAAGTATATGGTTAAGTTTCTTGGTACCTCTCAATACCTAGGTCCCTCTACTCCAATTACCTACCAATACCCAGGTCTTATAGTACCAGTACCTCAATACCCAAGTCCCTGTGTTAGTTTGTACCGGTATCTCTTACATGAAGAATAGCTCCAGGGGAAAGTTTTCTTCTAATGAATACCGAAAGGCAATATGTTTGATAATAATGACGTTTTGCGCCTAGAATAATATGTGAAATATGTTAATATATATATATATATATATATAATATATATATATATATATATATATATATATATATATATATATATATATATATATATATATATATATATATATATATATATATATATATATATATATATATATATATATATATATATATATATAATTTTTTTTTTTTTTTTTAGAATTAACTTGGGGAATAATAACTCGCAATACTCTTTCACTTATGGGATGGTTGATGACGTCAGATGATTAATGACGTCCGATGGTTGATGACGTCGGTTGGTTAATGACGTTGGTTGGTTAATGACGTTGGTTGGTTGATGACGTCGGTTGGTTGATGACGTCGAACGGTTGATGGCGGCATCAGAAATAATGACACTACTCGTAAAGCAGGGGTGGGAGGGGGTGATGTTTTTTTTAAGCAGCTGGTGTTTACGGTGAAGCTATGGATTTCATTATGATAATAAGTGCTTTAATATGACAAAGTTTACTAAAATATAACAGTGAATGCCTTAATATGACAATACGTGCTCACTTCAGCCCAAACTGGCAAATGGACACAAGAGACTAGTCCAAAATTGAGCCAAACTGAACAGGTAAATGTTTTTATACGCATTATGTCACACCGATTGTATGTAACGAACACTATAAACACGATACTTGTTGACATAATGACCATATATATTATAATGTAAAGATGTATGTATAGGTAATTATGCTTATATTTTCTTCATTAATGTTTAGAAAATGAATAAAATGAAATGTATACAGGTTCAGATTTGTCGGGTATTATTGAATGTAAAATATAGTGCTTAATAATGCAGCAATGACTATTATCAATTATTAACTTGGGCACAGGTAATGATTTTTTAAAGTGAGTGATTGATATCAAAGTAAATTAAAGAGGGAAATAATAATTACATCAACGTTTTATTCTCGTTTACGAAATTAGGCGTCGAGTGAAATATATATATTGGTGATCAGTTTCAGTGGGACGTACATCACTGAGTAAAATGACGAGCACTGCCTAAATCACCGCTTTGTTAGTTCATCTGAATTATTGCTCTGCCTGGTCGTCCGTTGTTCCTCTCTCTATATTTTTGTTTCGTATTTTAACTTCACATTTCTACTGGACCAATTTTGTTGAAACGTCAGAAATGTTCCCCAGTTGAGCCTTACTCGAATTATGTGTGACGTCAGCACAATTTATTCAAGATGGCCGATCATCCTAACAACAGAAAAAACAAAAAAAATAAAATAAATATCTTGTGGTCCATGCTGCTGAAGGTGTGCGGGAAGGCTTCTAGTTTGGTCCACTGTTAGGAAAATTTGCCCCGTCAGGTTTTGTCACTTCTAATTGGTCATTAAGGTCTGGTGGGCCTCTTGTTCGTGTCGTACGAATACCTGATGTAACGTCACGCCTGAGCCCATCTGTATAGGTCTAACTTCAGGAACCATTTTCTCACACTTGAAAAAATGGATTGTAGACTGAAACTGCTGTAAGAAATACTGTTTGTTTAATGTTATTATTAATGTTGTGAATAAGACCAACAACTGTAATAATACAAGAACGATTACACGTATAAAGTTTACGTTTAACACCGTAGGGCTTTAGTGTCAGTTCTTCTTAGTACTCGAGTTGGTGGTGGTACCTTGGCCTCACCCCCACACACACCGCCCATCGCCCCCACACACACCGCCCGCCCCACACACCGCCCCACACACCGCCCACCGCCCCACACACACCGCCCGTCACACACACCGCCCGTCGCCCCACACACACCGCCCGTCGCCCCACACACACCGCCCACCGCCCCACACACACCGCCCATCGCCCCACACACACCGCCCCACACACATACAGTAACAAACACTGACAGAACGAGGCTGAGAGTTACAGATAAACAGTTAAGTTGTGAATATATTGCGGCTCGGTCCACTAGAATGAGTGACAGGCAAAGATCTGAGCCCAGACTCATATGTTTGCGAGTTCAATTTTCCCCAATACTGGAGACCTAAGAACTGATCTATCTGGTTCGCTTAAGATGTATCATAATGTTGGTGGATTAAATTGCACACTGAGACTGGCGTAACAAGACGTGTTCTCTTAAAGTTCCAAGGAGAAAAAATTGACGTGCATATCTTAGTGAATCTGGCCGACACCCTTGGCTGGGGGAGGAAATTGTACACACTTGTTTGATCTATCTGATAATGGTGTGGCAGATATTAGTGTACTTAGGAAGACATTAGTCATATACAATTACTTGTCCTGACAGCTCGTTAGGAACAGTTTGGATACAGCATACAATACACAAGAAGATAATGTGAACGACACTGAACTCTACCTTCTATTACTTCTTCGTCTGTTAAGTAAAGAACCCATCCTGCTGCTGGTGCAACTTGGGACGTCCTATTTATGAGTTGGTCACGGGTCCCGAGCGCTGTATCCACTCAGCCTCTCCCACTGTACTTATCATATATTAACTCGGCGAGAAATAATTCCTTGATGTGTATTTCACCTTTGTCGTGTAAGTTTTTATTCCATTTGGTATGAAAGCCTTTGGTCCTACTAGAGACAAAGAAGTTATTAGTATTACATTTTCATTATTACATTTATTATTATTTTATTATTATTATTATTATTATTATTATTATTATTATTATTACATTATTTTATTTCTGTATTATATATTCTCTTCTCCAGGGAGGGGTGGTGGGGCCAGCTTATCTTTGCTGTCTGTACTGTGACCACAACAGTCTGAAAAACACTGACAGTCCCATTGATTCATAATATTAAATAAAGTGGTTTCCATAACAATGTGCTAGACATCTGTTTCCGCCGGAATGACTAAATGTAATGGGTAAATTCACCATCAAAAGAGGAATAATGATGATTTAATTACGGTGCGATGGTGGGTGGGTGGGAGGTGGGTGAGTTAGTGGAACGGTAGGTGGGTTAACTGGTGGATGGAGGTGGGGGAGTGGGTTGGTATGTGGATGAGTGGGATAGGAGAAGGTTGAGTGGGTGGGTTGATATGTGGATGAGTGGGATAGGAGAAGGTTGAGTGGGTGGGTTGGTATATGGGTGAGTGGGATAGGAGAAGGTTGAGTGGGTGGGTTGGTATATGGGTTATTGAGTTGGGAGATGGGTGAGTGGGTGGAAGATAAGTGAATGGGAGAGCGTCTTACTAATAACTTCTACACAACGGAAGACAAATGACTATGCTACGCCGGTCAAGTATTGAGGGGATGGCGCAAATCATCTCCCGTCTGTCTGTTTGTCAGGGAAATATTAAACAGTGAGAGTCGGTATGTCAGTTCATCATCTGTTTACGTGAGCCAGGTAGATTGATTTCACCGTGATAACCAAAGTGAGGGCGTTAATTTGTCTCCTCCTCTACCTACTTCTCTTCCCCCATGGATATATAGGACGCCAAGGATATGTAGGACACACCCTTAGCTGCTGCGGGGATCGTGGAGAGCTCCTTAAAATAGACTTTGTTGGCGAGGTGGTCGTGCACTGTATGTTCTGGGCTATAAACACACACACACACACACACACACACACGAATCCAATACAAATTTGCGGTACTGATTTATTTGTGAGAGAGTGTGGAAGCTTCTGCACTTTCTTCATCATTGATGTCGATCAGCCTTCCTGGAGTGACCCAGGAAGGTGTGTGTTATGTGTGTTTTTGTATATATATATATATATATATATATATATATATATATATATATATATATATATATATATATATATATATATATATATATATATATATATATATATATATATATATATATATATATTAAAACAAGCACAATGCTTTGTGATTTGTTAATTCTCTCTTTTATTACTGCATGAATGATAAATTATTTTTCTTAGTGCTACGTGATCAGTTATTTTTTAAAGCTACGTGATTGGTTAATTTTCTTCCTTAATGCTGCCTGGTTGGCTAATTATTTTACTTAATGCTTTGTGATTGGTTAACTTAATCGTATATTGGCATGCCATTCGTTAAGTTACTGGATTTTCAAGCGTCATTCATCAGAATTTTTCCTAAAAACTGGAGAAAAGAACATACACACCTACCCTATAGTCTCAATGTATTCCCAACGCCATTTTGTTTCCGTGTTTGAGAAGAAGCATTGGCGAGTCGCTGAGAAACGTAAACACACTTCTGGTTGAAGGAATTTTTTCAAACAGTGTCTAAATGATTCTTAAGAATGTATAATATTATTTGGATCACCTGAAGATTATACATCCTAACGCTAATTTACGTTATTCTAGCATAACAACATAATATGACGTAACGTAACTTACTTGAAGCTCTATAATACTGCCATTAAGGGGAATTACCGTACCTGTATTATTAACCTAAATCCGTATTCGTACATTATGGTCTGCGTACATGTGTAGAATATTTGATTATGGGTAATGTAGGATGGTCCAATATGGGTGAAATTTTACTGAAAAAGACACACACACACACACAGACGTACAGACAATCACCTCAACCTGGAAGTAATCTGGTTGAGGAGAGTGTGTGGGCTAATGGACTGGTAAGGAGAAGGAAGCAACTGGCCTCAGAGCGCTGCTAAGACCTGCCTCGACGCCTCACATCACAGCCAGGGTTCTCGTAATGACGCTCTCCCGGACACTAGTGCCTCCTTACTCGCCCTCGCTTTGTGGGTTTTATGCATTAGTAAATGTGTATTGAAAATGTGTGTGTGTGTGTGTCCCCGAACCAATCCTTCCCCTTCATAACTAGTTAAAAACAAGCACTCACAACCATTCCCTCCCCTTTCCTTTTTTTTTCTTTACCTCTAACTCTTTCCTTCCTTCCCTTCTTTACCCTCGTCACCCCCCCCCTCTCTACCTCTCTCCCTCCTTCCTCTCCCACACCTCTCTTACTCCC